CACGTGGCAAGGTATAGATTTATAAAAATGGGTTAATATAAGATAAAAGAACAGTTAGCAGGAAGCCTGCCACGGCCATACAGTTTATAAGTGATATAAGCGTCTGAGTGATTATTTTATAAGTGGATTGTGGGACTGCGGGGCTTGGGGAACCTGGAGAGAAGCCCTCCAGCAACACATGTTTCCCAGGATCCTTCATCCTGCTCTGTCCCAGCACTGTACAAGTCTCCATGGGGGGAATTTCTGAGAAGAGGAATACAGGACATGACAATGTGTTTACCACCCACATTTACCACCCAGGAGGATTAACAAGATCCAAGATGCAAAGAGGAGACTGGCCAAGCATCCTTAAGAACTGTCCCATGAACCTCCCACTCACAACGAACTCAAGAGGGTTTCACTGGAGCAACAAGGCACACATGGTGTGGGATTCACAAGAGTGAAGGAGGTGGTTCCTCTCCTCACGGAGATGGGGCAAGATAAGATGGACAGATCTCAAGTCAGCTCAGGAAGTGGCTTGTTACAGAGGATGGACAGCATGAACAAAAAAGGAAATCTCTCAAAGGCTGGCCATAGGTGGGAAGGTTGTGAAGCCCTTAGCTGAAGTCTGGGGGACAGGTGACATCCTCAATCCATGATCATGGATGTGTCTCTCACTGGGAGTGATAGGAACCTGGGCCCCTGAGTCCTGAAGCATCTTCAGAGCACTTCCTGTACCAGTTCATCTGGAGCCTCTCAGGGGAGCAGGAAGCAGAGGACAGAAAGGAGAACTTGGCATGTGAACACTGGACTTTCTAGAAGAACACTGCCCCTCCTCCTCTTGGGCTTGGTGTGGACAGGAGACATCAGAGCTGAAGAAATGACCCCAGGAGTGATGGAAGTGTGGCTGCCTTCAGCTCTGCTCCTCTTGCAGGTCCCAGGTGAGCACAGGGATGGGGGTGGGGTGGGGTTACAACTCTGAAAGGGGAAATCCTGGAGTAAGTGAGAGGGCAGGATGGGGGATGGGAGGTGGGAGAGAGCAGCCAGCAGAGGAAGATGGGACCAGAGTGAGGACAAGGAGTGATGGGGGGGGCAGGAGTGGCCCGTGTCACCTCACAGGTGCTGTCAGGATTCAGTGCACAGTACAGTCATGACTACCACACCTGAGACAGTCAGGACCTGCTGAGAGGTTTAGCTGTGACAGACATTGTCATAACACCACACAATCTCTATTGTGTACACACATGTATTTGCATGCATGCATGTGTGCATACCAAACATACACAAGCACTGATTCTCACAGAGACATACACTCATTATTTACATAGGTAAAATCTCTCTCTCTCTCTCTCTCTCTCTCTCTCTCTCTCTCT